CGTACCCGTTGGTATTTACAGGTGTACCCACATGTCAGTGCCAACGAATAAACACAGTAAATAGTGCAACATTCCTTCAACTGTAAAGACAAATAATGCTTAAATCTATACTATCTAATCTAACAAACATTCTTAGTTTGTACACCACTCGGGAGTATTCAGGTTAGTTATGGTTTCACACGCAAGCTGAATTCATGAAACATACAGGAAATGCAACCAGCAGGTTTTTTGTTCGTAATCTTTGTGAGGTAGTTTAGAAAGCACTTATAAGTGTGTAAGAATATACTTTCTTCTAAAAAGAATCACCTTCTCTTTGCGTTCTACTTGCTCATCAGCCTTCACTCCATGCAGCATGCCATGCTGTACAGCTGCTCAATGCACATTCGTAACAAGAAGTCCTAAAAATCTCTATCATTTCAACAACTGCTTTGTAGGCCTGTTTCCTGTAACAGCTGTATTACTGACCATGTCCCCAAACTCCCTGCTGCACAGCAGCTACTTCAGAATCTCATCTAGTTCCTTTTCTAGACATCTACTACTGTGCACCACTGGAAAAGGGGAAAAAGAAGAGGAAAGATGTAGAAACTTGAGTGATTTGTTAATAGAGTAGCAGTTACCGTGAGTCAGGGGCTCTCATTTACATTGGGGCAAGTTAAGATGAATTTTCCACCATACAGTCAGCTCTACTATTCTTCATTGCTGAAATTACAAATTAACTGCTGTAAGCCACCTTTGCTGACTCTTAAACACCAGCTGAGGCACGAGAGCCCAGCAGCACCATACACCACCACTGCTCTAGAGCCAGCTCTAGTTTGGAAACTAATGTTAACCTTTACAGGTTGTATCTGTGCATGTAATAACTCAAAGTGCACCTGAGACACCCAAACAGCTTTTCCAGAGCCAGCTTAATGTTGGCGAGCGTGAATTGAGGGGTAAACCCATTTGCTGAACAGCCATACGAGTTCCTCCACATTCACTGCCCACCAAGCTGCACAGTAACAAACTTTTGGTATCACCTAGGGTATACACCAAAGAGTTACCTTCAATAACACAACAGTTTTCTTACCAGGAGCTTCCACATGTACGGAAACGGAGTACCGGCAGCACTGGGTAAGGAAGGGAGGACGAAACACCTGTGGTAACAGATAACACGGAAGAGTCTCTGTCACAAAATAACTGAGCAAAGAATTACAGTTTTTCTGTCAATAGAAAATGGGGTTTTTGAGACTGAAGTGTTTATTTGTAAGCTTAATGAAAACTCATTGCTGTCTGTGCCCCGCACACTCTTCCACTGTTGAGTGAGGTGTCCCAACCGGCCACAACAGCGCTCCACCACCACCGCCACTCTCCTCTGGGTCCACACGTGTGCAGTCACAGCGAGCAGGGAAGCGCCACACACTGGACTCTGGCCACAGCAGACTATTTGTCCTAAACCCCCTGTCTCTATAAAACGCGCCTGCCTCTTTGCTTTTCCATTTCACAGCACTGCCGAGGCTAAAAAGCATCTCTGGAGATGATCTACACCCATCCCACCCACCCAGTCAGGTTTTGAAGGAGACTCCGCAAGCTCTCAGGGCAATCTGCTCCATTGTCTGACCACACTCACAGAAGAAAGGTGGTTTTTTGATGTTTAAATGCATTCTCCTGTATTTCAGTTTGTGCCCATTGCCTCTCAGCCTGCCACTAAGCACCACCAAGAAGAACCTGGCTGTTTTTACTCCCCCTCCATCACGTACTTATACACGTTAAGATCCCTCCCGAGCCTTCTCCAGGCTGAGCAGCCCCATCTCTCTTGGCCTCTCCTCATACAACAGGTTCCTCCGCTCCTTAACAACTATCACGGACTTTTGCTGGACTCACTCTAACGAACTCAAGTCTCTCTTGTACCAAGGAAGCCCAGAACCAGACCCAACACTCCAGATGTCCCACCAGGTCAGAGCAGAAAGGGTCACCTGCCTTCACCCACGAGCAATGCTCTTCTTCACGTATCCTGGGAGACCTCTGGCCTTTGCTGTAGGCCAGCTCACGGCCGGTTATTACTCAGCATGACCTCCAGTGCTTTTCTTCAACTGAGGAGCCCAGAACTGGACACAGTATTCCAGATGGGGCCTCACCAGGGCAGAGTAGAGGGGCAGGATAACCTCTCTTGACCTGCTGATTACACTCTTCTTGATGCACCCCAGGATGCCATTGGCCTTCTCGGCCACAAGGGCACACTGCTGGCTCATGGCCATCCTATTGTTCACCAGGACTCCTAGGTCTTCCTCCTCAAGAAAGGCCTAAATAACATTCTCCTCAAGAAGGCCACCTCCTTTCAGAGGCCATGCCCAGCACCTGGGCATCGCTCCCACCATGGAGGTTCCTTCCACAGCCTCACCTCACCCGGCCCCACGGGAGGCACTGGCAGGAGGCCCAGCCCAGCAACTGACTCAGCAGCAGGGGGAAGAAACAAGATTCTTAGTAGCCAGGAACAAGTCCAGCAAGTTCCCAGGACTATCCAAGAAGTATTTTTTACGGTAAATGCTTTTCTATAAAAGCTTCTGTAAGAGCTTCTAAGAAGTTGGAAGCGGCAGATAAAAAAAATTGTCCCTTTCTTACAATACAGAAAGGATATTTGAAGCTCTCTTCCTTCCCCAGAGCGCCGTAGCAATACGACTAAGGCTCCATCTTACTCATGTACTCAAGTACTCATGTATCACCATAGCCTGTAGAAAGATTATAGTCTTTTATTGATTTCTCGGTTTACAGATTCAGATTTAACTTTTCAATAATAAAGTTCAATAAATTGATTCCCTAATCATAAAAACTTGTTTTACACATTATGTACAGGTACCCAGAGACTCAGCGTGTCACAGCTCTACCACGGACCCTCATGCAGAAGAGCGGGGACATTGGGAGATGGAGTTGTGGATATGCACGGTGCGTTTGGCACAGCTCGCTGAAGATTGCCCACACAGGGACAGTAAAATAATCCCAACTAAGTGATAACGTGGATTAGTTCAACTACATTAATTCCAGGAGGAACAATTAATTCCCAATTAAACTAGCCATCAGAAGAGATTTGATTAAGTTGAATCAAATGCAGCTGAACTAATCATTTTAGTTTCATTAAACATCCCTCTATAGACAAATCCTAGACCTTGAGATCTGTCTCCAATATAAAACAAGACTTTTTAGTTGAGATATGCAGAAGTTTGATGATTGAGGGGAGGTCAGGTATTAGAAGTATTCTTTGGTAGTTTGATACAAATATAAAAAATAGATTACTTTTGAGGACAAAACTAAGTTTTTCCCATTTTCTCTCTTTACTGCCAGCACCAGAACTGCTTCAGCGACACAGTAACACTTACATATGGTAACTTGAACACAACCTTAAATTTTAATGACACAAAATTCATATTACAAACAAACTTCAATACTCAAGATAGCCTGTTGAAGAGTATCTGCTCCCCGTAAAAAAAAAAAAAAAAGTTAAATTTAACATTCAGTGAGAAAATTTTCCTACAGCAATGACAGAACCCAGGAAACACGACTCTCCATCTTCTCTGCAATACAGCAACTGGCAAACACCAGAGACCAGTCTGCAAAAGGCAGCCAACAGCATTCCAGCTCACATACAATACTATTTGATGTCAAAACCATTAATTGATTAATCATCCCCTTCTCTTTTAGGAGTTGAAGCAGACCACAGCATTCTCCTGTAATTGCAATCTCATCTTAGTATGACGAAAAACCACAGCAGAGTTTATGCAATCTGCTTTATAACATTACATCAAGCTACAACAGTTAAAATACACTGTTTCACAAAGAAGCAGACATTCATTTCAATCTGGCAATTCCTTTTTAAAATCAGTTGCCTTCCCTTCTAGTGCCTACCTGAAGGAGATAAAGCCAGACTCATTTTGAAGAGGGGAAATAAAAAAAAATAATAAACAAACACTTCCAGTCTGAAGTGCCCAACAGCTCTACAGCCTGCAGGGCAGAAGGCTGCAATATTCATGTTTGTCTCCAGTAATACAGCTCAAAGGATACTGCTTTGTCCAAATGCTGCTATAAAGACTTTCAATTTCAAATTCCTTCCAAGAATAAGAATGTAACTCGAGCAGGGCATTCCCCAATGAAGACCATTTAGCTAATCTATCTATTTATTTGAGATACTGTAGTGCAGCTTCATCTTCTTTCATGTCTGCTGCAGGCTCCCATTCAAACTTCTAATGCAGTTCAGAACAAACCTAACAAAAAGCTGAAGCAGACGCCCCTGCTGGATGCGCCAGCACAACAAGCCACGGGAGTGAAACTAGTTCATTTTGAGATTTTTTTCAGCAAGTGATGCCAGAGCCTTAGCCAGCTTGTCATCTTAAGTGAGAATTTCATGGGGAAAATAGTTATACAAACAATACATAGTACTGTTTATGCTTATTCCCTATGGAAAAATTACCTGATGCTAAGAGATGTTTCACTGAGGGCTGTAGGAATACTTTGATGTTACCTCTTAAAAAAAAAAAAAAAAAGAGGAGGGATAGTGCTACACAGACTGCCAAATCCACTTACCATGGAAGCTCCCACTCCTTTTTATGCAATCTTGTCAGTATTTCTATGACTTGATACCTACTGCTGGCTTAGTCATCGCAGCCAAGTAGCAGTCTCTATTCTCACAGTATAACAACAGAAATCCCTCTGAAATCACATATTATATAATAAATACATCTGAAGGTAAACCAGGTGATTAGCTCTGAAATGCTTGACCATGAAGAAGTAAAAAAGAAACAAGCTGCCATGAGAGTTCTTCTTTAGATTGAACAGCTTTGATGCCATGGAACTCCTATTTATATTGTCCTGTCGATTTCACAAGACTTAATTCTTGCACGTTCTTTTGGTCACTTGGACATGAAAGTGAGGATAATTCAACTTGGAACAGCTTTGCTTGTAATAACTGTCTTCTTCATAAAGGAAATCTGTGAATTTCCCCCTCCCCATAGATTCTCACGCACTCACACAGACTCTCTAGAAAGGTAAGACACTTTATTGAATTTGTTGATAAATTAAGAAAGGACTATGAACCAGACATATGGGTCACAGGTGCTTGTAAACAGACATCAATTCCTTCCCACAGAAAGCCTGACTCCATGTGCTCAGCCAGAGGTCACTTTCCCCAGCGTTGCTCACAGGCTGCATAGTGATGGAGGGCAGAGAAAAAGTCTTCATAGCTGATGTTCAGGTGGGAAGGCAAAGAACTGAGAAACAAAGTTAGAAGAGTTAAAATAAGCTTTTATAAACACTGCACAATTCATATGGCCAGTCAGGAATATCACTGCTTAAAGGAAGCTATTGCCTGAGTAGCCTTATGAAGATGTTCTCAACACTGTTATTGTCACTCAAATCTATTAGCTAAACTAGCTGTTAATATCTTGTCACCCTCTAAATGAAAGCCCACCCACTAGAGCACACAGGGCACTCCAAATTAGTGATAAAGCTGGAGCAGCACAGGTCTGCCCCGACATTTAAGTTGCCTATAAACACTCTCAGATTTAAGAAATACAGCAACTCTAGTCAGTTCAGTTATTGCCCAAATTGCTACGTAATCCAGAAGCATGATCATCTCACATTATCCTATTTCCCTTACATCCTTAGTTTCCCTGATCGAAACCTGTAAACCACTCAAAATCCACATAAATACCAACAGAACTGAGACTGGACCAGAGACTAGATGGTGACAGAAGTTGTTACTTAAACCTGAAGAGTAAAGCCTGCTGTTGCCTAACTGTTGCTGAAGGAGCAACAGTGGATGTTTGACAGGTTTCACTTAATTTTTAAATACCTTCAAATCCATCTCCAGACACATTTGTTTAGGTAGATCACCTCTTAGGACTATTTCCATAAGGTAAGTCAGATAAGGACTTGTTTAGTTAGATATTATTCCAACCTGTTTCACAGTATTTACAGGCAACTCACACGATCTCTGTCAGTCTGATGTGCCACGGAAGGAATCCTAATGTGCTGTCCACAGGACCAAACTTCAAGACTAAATCAGGATCTGGAAATCCATTTGTACCTGTAAGAACAAGTTATATTAGTTTTTTTTCAAATTCAGCATAAGATTTGTTTTAATTCTAAACCCTAAGGCATCAGCTTTTTCATTAAATGCATTTTTGTAAATGAAGTGAAGCTCCTGAGGACAGGTTAACTATTAAAAACCCAAGACTACAGACTGGTCTTGCACCACCTGAACAGGACCAACTGAGCAAAAGCTTAGGCAGCCACTGCATACCCAGCTGGACTGTTATTTTATGTTAGGTAGTTTTCAAAGACTCGGTAAGGAAGTGACAGGAACAGTTACATTGTTTTGAGTAACAGCAAACCTTAATACTGATGTTCAAATTGACTTGCTCTAGTTTTGTCTTGGCAAACTTGCTTTTAGTAGCATAGAACATGCTGTACCCTGACCCATACATACGACAGTCCTAACTCAACTACATGGAGTTGCAGTCGAGTAAAAGGACTATTACCACAAAAGACTTAAGGAGGTTCCACTGAAGAACAAATCAATTTCACAGACCATCAAGAAAACAAGTTGTAAAAAAATATCCTGTCAGATGAATTGTCCATTTCTCAGTAGGAAGCTAGACAGACAATTTTAAAAAACAACTATTACTATCAAACTGTTGCAGGTTAGATGAGTGAGGAAGAGCAGGGCAATTTTTACTTTTTTTCCTGTCACTAAGTGGACAACACAACCCATCCCAGAGCAGGGCTAGATAACACTGAAGGACTTCACTAGATGCCCATGCTCTTACTACCCATACCTTAAAACCCCAGTAACTGTCACTCCACCAGTGAGAGCATCCTACTGATCTTCCCAGGTTGAAGAAAATCAGTGACCAAGCACCACTGTTTCCCTTCCATACACTTCTGCCGTGCCTGAGCTACTCCAGGCTCAAATTGACAGACAGGCAATAAGCTTAGAATGAACAGCCTCAGTCCAGCTTTCCCTGCTAATTCTAGCAAGTTGATTAGGGCAACATATAAAAACCAGTATAGTACCCCAAGGGGACCCAAGAAGGTAAGCTGTTCTTCATGCACCTACCTAGCACATCTGAAAAGCATTCCAGCAGCCATAGCCCTACTTTGCTATAATGCTGCAATTAGTCATGATTTTGGCATGCTGTTTCTTGTTACCCCTTCCATTGTCCAGTAATTCCACAAGTTAACTGCAAGAGTGCTTACATTGCATAATGCCTACCTTTAGCAGATAAAGTGTAACACTGCCTATTTGCTCTGAACTTCAGGTGTTATTTCTCAATTCTTTTCTCACTTAAAACACAAACCCCAAACCAGTCAAGAGCCTTTTACAAGTTTAAGTTCAGTTGTAGAGGAACTTAACTTTGGGAGTATAACAGAATAGGAAACCATGGTCGTATCAGATTTCGCTCCACCCAGGTTTTGAAACTGAAGCTGGAGATTTCAAAAAGTTCACATCCTCCCTTCCCACTGAATCATCACAATTGTAATCCTTTCACCAGAGGTAAAGAAGCTATTTTCCCAAGTATGTGCATTTCTAAGGAAGGGTGAAGTATTTAGGTATGAGTGCCTTGTGCCACAGTCCAAATCTTATCTCAAAGTTAAAAAAAAAAATTATAAAGCAAAAGCCACTTCCGTGTTCTGAAGCCAGCATGTTAGTATGAAAGAGCTTTGCAGGGAAGCAGTAAATACTTGGAAGTGGGGACTCTGGAGGAAGTGGACAGCTTTACTCATCAGCTGATTCAGTAGCTGAGTACTCCTCAGCTGGCCAGTCCAGCAGCAGGATCTTCAACACTGCAATGCCTTTTCAAACAGGAAAAGACGTTCAGAGAGCCCCGTTAATGCTAATATTTCCTTCTGGTTCCTATCTGAAGGAAAATGAGAACGTACACTGTAGTATTACAGTCAGAACAGCCTACTCAAAACACAGTACTGTGCTTTCTGTTCTGCATCCATTTCTCTACCTAAACATATCAACGCTACAGATACTTTACATGTGGAAGCTCTTTCAGAGCTGCTAGAGTTACAGCCCTCTTCAAGTTTAGCACAGGCAAGACGGGAGCAGACTTGTGGGAGGAGTGGGGGTGGGAGGGAAGGAGCC